GGGCTTCAGGAGGTTCGAATCCTCCAATAGCTCCTAGAGGAAAAGATGAGCCATTTATAGACTTGGAAAACCTGCTGGAGGGTTGGCTATAATCTGGAGCCAACTTAATCACAAGGAGAGAAAGAGAATGAGAGAGTTGAGGTTTAAGGGAGTTGATTTTATTTCAGTGAAAGTTTACAAATCATACTGCATTTTCATTCAATCATTCATAGATATCTTGTTTTATATCACTGATCAAATTACTTAAGATAAATAATTCCATGATAGGTGGAGAAGAGATTGGTGGTGTTAATTACAGCTTGCTTGGCTCCACAATCAACTCTCTTAATACCTTAATATCAGGAAATCAAAGCAAACACCAGCTATCAAGAAATCAAAAGACGAATTGCACTGGGAAAATCTGCTGTTAGGAACTTCTCTAGAGTGCTGAAGAGCAAGTGTCAGTCTAGAGACTAAGGTGAGCTTAATCCAGGCCATGGTCTTTGCAATTATTTGCTATGTATCAGAGTGCTGGACAATGACTAAGGATGACAGAAAAGTCATTGATGCCTTTGAGTTGTGATGCTGGAGAAGAGTCTTGAACGTACTATGGACCACCAAGAAAACAAATAGGTCTCTTTTGGAGAGGGTGAAACCCTCCTTGAAAGCCTCCTTGGAGGCTAGAATTTTGAAGCTCCGTCTCACATACTTTGGACACATTATTGAACCAGTCATTGGGGCAATGGAGGTTGGTGTGTTGAAATCAGTGAGACTGACTCAGGACAGGGCAGGCTTCAGAGATGCTGTACATAGGGTCGCTATAGGCTGCAGGTGACTTGACAGCATATAACAACAACAAGATAATTATAATATCTAATAAGACCCTAACTATGTATTTGCTGCCTTCTCCTTCCCTCAATTTATCTATTATTTTTTGCTTTTCTGAGGAGACAGACACTCAATAGCTTTTGCCAGCTTTCCAGTATTCTATAATTTCCAAACAGTCAAGAAGCACATTCGTAAAGAATAAATGTTTCTTTCAACTGTATTTCTTTTTTTGCTTAAGAGTAAAGATGTATTTTTATTCTTGAGTTATCTTTTTCACTTTACTAATAGATGGGACTGTTATTTGAAGATGACGGAGATGCAATAGTGAAGGCAAACAGGTAGTTCCTTTGAAGGAGATGGGAAAAAAGCCACTGCAGAGACAACCCAAAAACCATTGCTCACTTATCCTTCACAAGCCACACTATCCCCATTTACAAACGGAGGCCAGCTACAGTGCACAGGAACTAGCGCCTTAGGATTCCGAGTCCAGACACAAGCTAACACAAGCCAGGCCTTCAAGTCCGCAATACCTGGGCTTTTCTTCTAGCGGTTAACAACAAAAATCTCTCAGATACGAAGGGAATTTTCAGGCACATTCCAGATTGAAGCTCTCACAAGCTCTTAACAGAGAGAGAAGAAAGAGAATTACGAATTGGCAAAACGGTCTCTATTTCACAAGTCAACCAACCCCTTTCCAAAACCTAAATAGTTCCTTTGAGTATAAGCCTTCAGTCGCCTGCTTTAACGGTTGGCCTTTAATGTTCTGCAGACAGTCACATACCATGAGCCAGTTAGAGATCCACAGGAGGTTCAGCCATGAACACTCGGTGTTAGATCTCCATCAGTGAGCTCTTACTCACAGCCAGGTGTCCCCTGCTAGCTATCCTACAGTTCTCACATGTAATGCCCTGAGCTAAAGAATCAACTCAACCCTAAAAAAGAGGCATCTTTCCTGACTCCAAGGCTGAGGTATTTCAGATTGTACCCTGTAGATTCCAGATTCCTGTAGCAATTCCTATCTACTGAGCTCCAACCATATGCCAAGCCCTACACTGTGCACATTAACAGTATTCATTTTTCTACTAATTCACTGTTAGTCACAAAGCTGAGAGGTACGTTACAGGCATGCAAGTGCTTGTGGAACTAGAATCTTGTCCAGGAAGTCTGATCACGGGGCTCAAGTTTGTTACTAATATGCTAGGTTACCTTCCAAAAAGATAAACCCAGTCTGTACTAACCCCTTAAAAAAAGGCATCATGGTGGAAGTGGAATGAATAAGGTTGAAGGACGTTTTATTGAAATATCACCACCAACCTTAGTTACTTTCATCTCCAATTTAAGATAACTACATAGCAATATCTGCCTTTTTTACAAGGTCTGTGACTCAGGTGGTTCAAAAGGTTATGCCCTGGGTTACCACCAGAGAGGTCTCAGATGCCTGGTGATCCACTTGCAAAAGATCACTTTATCTGTAACACATGAGTTGTCATGCGTCAGGATCAACTCAATGTCAATAGTTACTGCTGTCTTCATGTTGTTGTTGTTGCTACTGTTGTGTACTGTAGAGTCAGAACCAACCCATAGCTGACCTTCCAGCAGGTTTCCAGAGGCAGTTAACTGCACGGGAGGAGACTGCCCATCCTTCTCTGATGGAGCAGCTCGTGGCCTCGAACCACATGCCTTCGGGATTGCAGCGCTTGTTCTTACCACTATGTACTGGGGAGTTGGAACCAGCTCACAGCTCACAGTCTGGTGGGTTTGCAGAGCCAGTAAAGAGTATAGGAGGACATTTCCCATCTTTCTCTGGTAGAGCAGCTAGTGGATTCAAACAGCCTGCCTTTCTGTTTGCAGCACAACTTCCTACATTAAGACAACAGCGCTCCCACAGAAACTGTATGGTCTACAAAATGACCAATATTTACTTGATTTTTTTACAGAAAACGTCTGCTGCTCTCTGCTCTAGATCTTTCCTTTTCAATCCTAGCCAACCATCAGTATTACCCATGAGACTTACTTAAGTGGCTTCCTTTCTCCCACAAACAAGCAGCAACATCAGAGTCACTAATCGAGGAAGGTGCCACAGACAGGATGGCATTATAAGAAGAAACATTTTAAGAATACTCACTGTCTTTTCTCATCTTGTCCATACCAGAAACAAATTAGTAATATAAATTAAGGAGCACAGAAAACACAACCTTCTCTTAAAAAAATCCACTTATATGAATATTTATATGATTTATCTGAATAGTCTCTAGGACTATTTGAGAGACAGTTATTGGCCCAATATGTGAAGTGCTTTAATCACAATTTATCAACATTACCATTTAATATAAGCTCCAGTGGTCTAGGGGTAAGGAGTCGTGCTGCCAACTCAAACCAGGCGATTCTAATCCACCAGCTGTTCCACAAAAGAAAAGTAGTCAGTCTCCTCCCATGCAATTTACAGCCTCTCAAAACTGAAGGGTAAGCTGGGAGTCAGTTCCGACTCGACAGCACCTAACAATAACTGCTGGATGTGGAAGCTCTAATGTGGCAGCTATTAACTAAAAAGTCAAAGAGTTTTAACACAATAGTAACTTCAGAGGAGAAAAAGATCTTGCCATTTTCTCCCATAGTCTAAAAAAAATTCTATGAGGAGGTTCTACTCTGTTATGTGGGTTCACGGACAGTCCAAATTGAGTCAGTTGGGTACACAAGAACAACAGCGCCCTTACATGTATAAATATATATGTGGGGAATCAGAGGGAGTCAGGGTACAGAGTACCAATCTTGTGTTGGGTGGGGAGGAGGATGCTTTAGAGATGATAATTTTTACAACCAGAGAGCACAGAAGGAAAATGATTCTCCAATGATAGAGGAGAAAATAGCAACAGCTTGGGAAAGGAATCACAAGTTGAGAATCACAAATAGTACCAATTTCAAGAGCTTAAAATGGTCAGTTTGCTGTACTGAGATAACTTGGGTTGCTGTGATACTGAACGCTGTGTCACTGGTGTGTCAAATGTCATAATGGTTACCCATGAGAAGATAGGGTTTCATAGAGCTTCCAGATTAAGACAGACTTGGAAGCAGGACTATCAGTTCTTAAATAACAGCCCTTTGGAAACTCAATGAACATTAGAGAAACGACAATAGTTAGAGAACAGGGTTCAGATCTTTTGTTCATAGGGTCGCTGTGAGTTGTACTCGATGACACTTAACAAAAACAACAACAAACTAGTGATTGGATATAGCGCAGGGCTGAGAGTGCATAGCACTTTTCTGCTCACTTCAAATAAGGGATCAACTAATTGAAATCAAGTTCAACTGCACACTCAAAGCCTAGGAACGTGAGTCTTCCAATTGCCCAGGTCTGAGGCTCTGAGTTTACCCTTTGTAGCATGTTCCTACTCCACCAGTCATCCGTGTCAAATGAACCCAACTAAAAAGACACTCCACAAGGTCAGGTTACTACTAAAAGCTCCTGGCAAGCACAGGGTAATCTTTGTTGTTGTTTGGTACTAGCAAGTAGATTCTCACTCACAGCAACACTAACTACAACAGAACAAACTACGGCCCAGTCCTTCACTGGCCTTACGGTCCTTGCTGTGTTGGCGCTGCTGCAGCTGCCATGTCTAACCATGAATGCTGCCCTGACCTCAGCCTCAGTGACACTCATGATCCCTTGGGTTCAGCTCACTTCCTCTCAACTTTGTATTTCTCACTTTCCTGTTGTTAAATCTGAAAAATCCAAAACTAATCAAGCATCCAGCATATTAACAAAGACTTACACACTTAGTTTTTTCCCTTTGTCTCTCTCTCTCTCACACACACACACACACATCCAGAGAACTGCACAAATAAGAATGAAGGTAGAAGAAAGTCTAAGCACTTCTCAATATTCATTACCATCATTATTAAATATTCATCTTTAATGGGGGTTTTGTTTGGTTGGTTATACAATGTTCTCTTTTGTTCGGTTCCATGTAATGGTTCACAGGCCATCAAGTAAGCTTCTGGTTAGGGAACTTCATCAGAAGACAGAAGTCCAATGTAAACTTACCAAAGCCACATTCATTACCATAAAAAGAAAACTTTTCTTATAAAACAGAGAGGGTAAAGCTAAGAGAATATTTGTGCATCACATGCCGACAAGAGAAAGATCAATCAAAATAGGAATGCTCTTAAAAAGTAGAAAACAAAGATAAATTTACCTTTTCATGGTTTTCAATTAAGATTTCCACGACAATGTTCTGAAACTTCAAATCCATGATGGCAGCAACAGTTTCTTCCTGCGGCCTCATCAGAGTTGGTCCAAACACCACTCCTAAGTTGGCCACGGTCATTAGGTTCTGCTTGGAGTGATTTGAAACGCTGATTTTGATGAAGGGAGAAAAAGAGGTCTTTGGTTAAGAGACAGGTGATAACTGCGGAATGTACAACATTCTGCACCACTGTCTTTTTCTAAAATTAAAGAGGCAAGAGATTCTAACTGTACCCCAACTTCTAGTTCTGAAATGACTGGACCTCACAAGTCTACAGAAGTTCAGGTGGTCCATGATAAATTTGATTCCACCCCAAAGGGTTTTATTTTTCTCTTGTCAGTTCAAATCCATGAACAGCTCCAAGAGAAGAGGGTGGGCAGTCTCCTCTCATTGCAATTTACAGCCTCTAAAACCTGATGGTGGGTCACACAAGGTAGTAAGTCTACATGATGAGGACACTGACTACAGGTCAACTTCTTTCCTTTCAATGCTCTACTCTGACTACACTGGCTTCAATAAATATGCCCAACTTGTTCCCCTGAAGGCCTTTATTTACATTTTATATCTTTATTTAGTCTTTAGTTCAGAACACTACTTCCTCGCTGAAGTGGTCATATACACGCTTCCAATGTCTTCATGCTATTTTGCCTAAGAATTAGCTTCAAAAATATGCCCAACTAGGCCAGGGTATCCACGCTCACCCCCTCATCTCACGACCACTTTGCAGTCCCTGCTCACTTACTTTATGCCTCAGCTCAAGGGTCTCACCGCAAAGAGAGTTTTCAATAATAATCTACTTTATGGTTCTGCACACAACATGTATTTATTGTCCTCTTACTTTGTTTTCCAGTTTCATTTATCATCAGAAATAATTCTATGCATTGTTTGTTAGCTTTTCCTTCATAGAATGGAATGAAACTGGTGATCTTATCTTGTTCAATGATTCACTGAACCCACAGCCATTAAATTGACTCTGACTCATAGTGACCCTCCTTTCAGTTTCTAAGGCTGTAAATCTTCACAGAAGGAGACTCCTCATCTTCCTCCTGCAGAACAGTGGGATTCAGCTTGGATTCAACTCACTTCCTCTCAGCTTTGTATTTCTCACTTTCCTGTTGTTAAATCTGCAAAATCCAAAACTAATCAAGCATCCAGAATATTAACAAAGACTTTTGGAACCATGGATTGGAACCATTGATCTTTTGGTTAGCAGCATAACACACGATGTACCACACCACAGAACTGCTTATGTACCCACTAACACCTTATAAAAGCATTTGATAACTTTATTTTGAAGGAATATCGTGTGAATGTAGGCAAGACATAATATCCTTTTGCCTTCATTTTCTATTTAAATAAAAGTTATAAAATATAGTTCTCCAATGATTCTTCTCATTTCTAAAAGTCTCTAATTATAAGGATTTAGGAGTCATTTTCATGTGAAGAAAGAACTAATTTTGTTATTAAATTATTAGATTTGGCTTGCTCTTTAAATGGGGGAAGGCTGTGAAATGACTACCTTCATTACAGAATTAAGTAAACTTAGAGAACATACTCAAATTTAGAGTAAGGTAAGTGTGAAACCAAGCTAAATTTGCTAACAGACATATAATCACATTTCCAGAATCTATATACGAGGAAATGTATAATACTCTCTTCCTTCACTTCAAATAAAATCCTGAGTTTCTGGCAATGATATTAAGCACATAATTATATGGCTGCATAAAAATATCAAATTTCAAGCCTCTGTCCAAAACACACACAGTGAGTCAAATGTCCAGGCAGCCTTGCCAGGCTCAGTCGCTGGTCCTGTGAATATGGCGACAGGACTATGCGCCACACGGCCAAGAAGGATGCCTATCACTGAGGGTGAAGCAAAGCAAAAAGAGACTTACTTTGTTAAGTGTTTCACCAAGATATCCAACATTTCTTTATTTTTCTCTGGCAGTTTGTGGACCAAGAAATGAATAGCATTAACACGAGATTCTGGACTTCCACTTTCTTTTTAGGAAAAAAGAAAAGAAAATCATTGAACAGTCAAAATATTCACAAAACCAAATTACAACAGATTATCTGCTGAACATCTCCAATGGTAGAACACTGAAAGATATTTAATATTTCTAAAATGTTGGGGAGAGGGAAGAAAGAAGTTCATCTTTCTCTCTACTATTAATCTTCAAATGCCTCCCCTGAGTGATACTTTTAGTGTAGCTACAATTAGTGCTTTTCCCTCTGGTTTATACTGAAGAAGCTGTCACAGCTTCTCCTTCTGGCATGTTGCACTTCAGGCTGCTCAAGGCTCTGCTGATCACTGAGCTAGGGACTCGCAGTGGAATGCAAATGAAAAGTCAACAGATAGGTTATTCTTTTTATCCCTTTGTTGTTATATGCTGAGTCACCTGTGCTCATAGCCACCCTATGTACAACATCCCTACACCCTGCATTTTACCCTGTGCCGATCTTTTTAGAATTCATTCTCATCTCTGACTTTTTATTAACAATGCACTCAAATTGCCTTTACTGTCTTCCTGATAGAAAATCAGCAAATAAATCAATGAATGCTTACTACTGAAGACAGTATTGATCTTTAGAATTTTTAAAAGTGCCCACTGAGAATTAAGCGCTTAAGCTAACTATAACAGGGAAGAAGATGACAAATTGTGTTAGAGGTTCATACAGAGCTAGCAAAAGAAACTCAGGAAGGATTTCACATACAAAAGGCTGAGTTGAACTTAAGTAATGGGGATAATTTCAAGCAAAGGCAGAGCTGAGGATTCAGAGAGCCATTCCAAACAAGAAAAGAGCATAGGATAACACACAGAGCCAGCACCTGAGGCTCATAACAAGGTAGACTGATATGCGAAGGTCAGTAGGAAGACTATGACTTCACTACTGGCTTCTATATTAATATCACTGAAAATAAAACGAGAAGTCCATATGGCATACTTCATAGGGAGTTTTGCTACTAATGCAAAACCAGCAACTTTTTCATGGTTCAGATCCACCAGTGGGAAAAAAGATGGCCAATCCCCCCCCCCACCCCCAGGCCTCTATAGAGCCATGGAAACCTCTTGGAGGCTCGGCTATGAGTCAGTTCTGATTTGACAGCAATGGGAGGAAAAATAAATTTACCACTTCACACTCACTGCAATAACTATCATCAGAAAAATGGAAAATTACAAGTATGGACAAAGACTTGAGGAAATAAGGGCATCCAAACATTGCTGATAAAAAATAATGCTATTCCATGAAAAGTCACTGGCCGTTCCTCAAAATGTTAAGCTCACAACTATGATGTGACTTAACAATTTCATCCTTAGAAACATAGTCAATACACTGAGATAGGGCTATTACTGTCATTTCAAAGCTGACGAAACTGAGACATGGTTAGGTACGTTTTGTTTACATAACTGAGGCACAGCGAGGAAACTGAGGCACAGGTAGGTAATTTTATCAAGACTGATCCAGCATGTGAACCCAGACGATACTTTCTTATTTATGGTTTTGTATATCCCACGAACTGCCAAAAGAACAGATACGCCTTGGAGAAAGTTCAACCACAGTGCTCCTTGGAGGCAAGGATGGTAAAGCTTCATCTCACATACTTTGGGCATGTTAGGAGAGGCTATTCCTTGAAAAAAGAGTATCATGCAGTGAAAGAGGAAGACTCAACAAGATGGATTGCTAAAGCTTCTGTGGCATTGGATTCACGTGTACCAGGGATGATAAACATGGTGCAGGATGGGACAGGCTTTGAATCAATTATTCAAAGGTTTGCTATGAGTTGTACTATACTCAGTGACATCTAACAAAAACAACTTAATAAAATGAAGGATCAAGAAAAGAGAGAAAGACCCTCAGTGAGATGGGATGACACAGTGATTATAAAAATGGACTCAGCATATTTGAGATTGTGAAAGTGTTAAATAATAGGGTCATTATTAATTCTAATCAACTTGATGACATATAATAACAAAATAAATTAAAGATATCTTTCATGTGCTTGATGATTTATTTATCTTTGGAGTAAATGCCCCCTTTTTTTTATCTGTATCTGCCCCTTCTAAACTCATTACTTCTCTAAAAAGCATCTTCTCCATCACTTGCTCCTTTCTCTATTTTAACCACCTTTCATCAAATGTCAGATAATATTTACCCAAATTTAACTCTATTCATATCCCTTCTTCTTTTCAAAAAAAATTAAATTTTTTTAATTTCCATAAAATATATATATCACAAAGAGTTTGCCACTTTCCCCATTTTTAAGTGTACAACTGAGTGACATTAATTGCACTCACCTTATGGGGGCTGACAGTAAGGAAGGTTAATTAAATATGAGAAAGGGCTTCTGAGGTTCATTCAGCTGAGTTCCATTTCTTAATCTGGGGCCAAGTTATGGGTGTCTTCACTTTGTGAAAATTCACTAAGCTATACACTTGAAATTTATGAGCATTTCTGTTATCTTTAAAAAAAAACAAGTTCATTGTTTTGAGGAAACAAGCATGTCCCTTTTTGCTTATTTCCTCAGAGTATTGGTTTGATAGGGATGGGCAAATCAGCTATCTCAAAGGGAGATATTAGGACATGAGGCATTAATTAGCTGGTTTATACACTTTCAAAAAGTAGATGTTAGCAGGATGATTATAAAGGAGGAAAAATAAAAGGCCACAAATATAAGTGAATGAAATATAATGAAAATGAGGGTCTGTATGGAACACAATGTACATGCATGAAACACAATGTATATGAAGGTTGTTATTATGTGGCATCGAGTTGCCCATGACTTATAGCGACCCTGTGTACAACAGCTCTATAATACCCTACCTTGAGCCAGTCTCACTGTCTCCAACACATCTATCCCCATTATGCCATGTCTAAAGAGGAAAAAAACAGACATGGAGGCACAAGGCCACTAACATGTGTCTGAAAGGGCCAGCGGGGAGTGAGAATAGCATAGCTCCTCATCATCCCAGGGCAGGAAACAGACAAAGACCCCACAGCCCAGCCCCATGGTGCCTCTAGAGCCACACCAACTGCAAAAGATTCATTCATTCATTGTTAACTTACAGACTCACAGCTGTAATACTGAGAATGGCTATTGGTAAGGAAGTAAATTGGAGAGTGAGGGAGGCAAAGAATAAAATCACATACAAGTCCAGGATTTAGCCCAAGCTCCAAGTCACAATTCCTCAATTAGCCCAGGCTCTGGTTTCAGCTCAGCATTCAAATCCAAATTATGCAGCAAGGTTTGCCTCAGAGCAGTCATAAGTCAGCTTCTCCTCCAAGCATTCAGCAAGAACAAAAATTTAACTGTGGCCAACACAAATGCTAGAAGCCTCAGGTCACACCTTGCCATAGTTTATCAAAGCAATGTCACATTCTCGCCACCACCAGGGTCTTACTCTCACTAGAATCTTACTCTAGTCTCCCTCAAGTCTTGCTGCCACAAGTATTGCTCACTTCAAGTCTTGCTGCCCAGTGTGGGAAACACTTTTCTGCTTATCCTAGTCTGACAACTGTTAATGATTTGCAGACAAAGCTGATTTTCAAGACCATGTGTCTACTAATGTAGCTAGAGACTAGAGGGGGCTAACTGTAATTGCTAAAAAAAATAAGTCAACTTTTAGGCTTAACACCACATCCCAGCTACTGTGTCAATCCATCTTATCCAGGGTCTTCCTCTCTTGCTCTGTCTTCCCACCCTTCCAAGCATAATGTCCTTTAGTGGGGACCTAAAAAAAAATTCATTAAATAAAAAATTGTCCATAATAAGTCTTCTTGTCTTTGGTATGTGCTGTCAAGTTACTTGCAACCCATAGAGACCCCGTGTACAACAGCTTGGAACCCTGCTCTATCTTAAGCCAATCTCACTGTCTCTAACACACACACACCTATTACCCTAGTCACTGAGTCAATTTATCTCATTCAGGGTCTTCCTCTCCTGCACTATCCTTCTACCTTTCCAAGCATGATACCCCTCTCCAAGGACTGATCCCTCATTGCAACATGCCCAAGTATGTCAGATGAAGCTTCAAAATCCTTGTCTTACTCTATGATAAACTCTCAAACTAGGGAGCTCTGGAGGTGTGGTTCATAGGGAGTTGCACTGCTACCCCAAAGGCAGTGTCTCACTGGTTGTTCAAATGCAGCAATGGCTCCAAGTTACAACCCACTGGGGGGCCAGCTGTAAGTTAGTTCAGATTCCACAGCAATGAGGGTCTTCCAGGTTTGTGGAGATTTTTAATATGATAAACTAGAATATTTAAAGAATATTTAGGCTTACTCCTTGCAGAGTTCTCTTTCTTTTTTCCCTAAGTAAGCAGTCTATTTCACTTAATATATTCTGAACACCATTTATTATTATAAAACATAGTTCGATATAATACTTTTCTGGACATTCAAGTTATTTATAATATTTGTAAAGTTTACATAGACATTTCATAATCTCAATAATTGTTGGAGGCTGAAGAGTGGGACTTTATAAGACTAGAATCAAAAAGGCTCAGAAATTAAAGCTAGAGGCAAATATTCATTGTGTGCTATGTATTGGACTGCTAATCCAAAGGTTTGTAGTTCAAATTCACCAGCTGCTTCATGGGAGAAATATGGGCTGTATTCTCCCACAAATATTTACCATCTAAAAAATCCAAAGCAAGGTCACCAAGAGTTGGAACTGACTCAACAGAAGTGGCTTTGTTTATTTGTTTTCTTTGTGCACAATAAAATACTTTTAGATAATATTATTTTACACTGAAAATGAAATCTATAGTTTTAGGTGGTGAATTATCTCAAGTTCTTAATCCAAAAATAATGCTATACTGAATGAATCAATACTGGGGGAAAATGAAATAAATAAACATATAATCACAGTTTCATGCCATGGCTTTGATTTTTTTAAAAAAAGCAGCAGAGTCTCTAAGAACAGGGTGGGATAGAGGAAAGCTCAAATTCTAACAAAATAAAAGAAGAACCATCTAGGCTAAGATCTGTGTACATTCACA